AAAACTTCGCAGACAATGTTCAACAAGTTAGTTATGTTCTTCATAATCACCTCTTTGTGCAGAGTTTAGAGCAGACAAAGAATAAGATTCCAAATGTAATTCTTTATTTGGAAGAAACAATACAGCTAATGAAAGCTATGTGTTCAAGTGCTCGTCCATCAATCATTGGGGTTGATCGAACTTTTAATCTTGGAGAAGTATACGTCACTGTTACAGTATTTAAAATGCAGGTTGTAGTCCGCAAAGAAATTCAATTGAATCCAATCTTCATTGGGCCATTGTTCCTTCATGGTGATACATTTGATAGTACATACGCCCATTTCTTCATACACTTACAGAATAAATTTAAGGAAGTGTCATGCAAAACTGAAAATTTTATTTTCGGAACTGATCAAGAAAAGGCTATGATGTCAGCAATAAAGTTTGCTTTTCCAGAATTCAATCAGGTCTTGTGTATCCGACACATAAAACAAAATGTGGAGTCATATCTGGCAGACAAAGTTGGACTAGAAAAAGAAATGCGTCAAGTTGTTATGGACGGTTTGTTTGGAAGTCGAGGTGCAGTGTTGTCAGACGATTCGATAGTATTTGAAGAACGAATTAGGTTTGTCCAAAACATCTGAAAAAAAAAAAAGGAGATAAATTTCTAAAGTATTTAGATGAACGTCTTGAGACCTCGTCTGGACAGAAAAATCCAAGATAATTGGACAAACAATAATGCCGAATCAGCCAATCATATTCTGAAATGTGCAGTTAACTGGAAACCAAAACCACTAATGGAAATAATTACAAAAACTTGGAATCTAGTACAAGTTCAACAAAAAGTAAGTGATATGTTAATGCTATTTACAACCTCATAACATACCTTGGTAAAATCTTTTTTTGTTTTACAGGATCAGCGAGCTATTACTGGCACAGGACCATTTACTCTGGCACAAGAGTATCAACAACATATTATTTCTCCACAACAATGGTCACAGATGTCAACTGAAGACAGACATAAAGCAGTGAAAAAGATATTCTATGCGAGGATACCAAGCACAATGTTAACATCGACTGACGGAAAACTCAAAGTTCCTATGCCCAAGGGCAGTAAGAAACCAGGTCAAAGGAAAAGGCCAACAGCTGAACGATCAATGACAATGTCGAAACAGCAAAGAAAAACATGCTTTGGCAAATAAACAGAAATAAACTGGATTGTCTCCTTTAAATATAACTTTATAACTTTACGACTTGTAAATAATAAGAAATTAACAGATGATTGGCGCACCCAAGGGGGCCCGGTTTCTATTAAATGTTTAGAAAAACATTTTTTATACCACTGATTTTATAATACGCAGCATCCCCTTAATTTGGATTTCTTTTAAATAGTAAAATGTAAGTCGATGAGCCACTGTTGCGAATATCTTTATTTTTCACTTTATTATCAATCAGTCAACAAATTTGAGTGATTTCAGTAAATTATTTCAATTGATTAGGTTTATTGATTTTAATTTGAAAGTTATTTGTACGTTTAACTACTTGTCAATAATATCGCATATTGTCTTATCGGTCAATAATTTAAATAGATTAAGTTTATTACAGTTAATTCGTACGTTAATATGGGTTTTTGGGGGGTTATTTTTGGTTAGATTATTTTTCAATCATATCGCATATTGTCTTATTGGTTAATTATTTGAATAGATTAAGTTTATTACATTTAATTCATGCGTTATTCTAAAGTTATTATGGGTTAATTATTCTACAATCATATCGCATTTTGTCTCATTGGTTAATTATTTGAATAGATTAAGTTTATTACATTTAATTCATGCGTTATTCTAAGATTGTTATAGGTTAACTATTCTACAATCATATCGCATATTGTCTTATCGGCCAAATATTTGAATAGATTAAGTTTATTACAGTTAATTTGTACGTTATTTTTGGTTATTTCGGGTTATTCCGGGTTATTTCGTCTTTAAGACGCACCTTAAATATTATTAAAACCTTTAAATATTATCAAAAGTAGTAACAAAATTATTAATAATGATAAAAATGATACCATTATTTCTAAAAGTACATTATCGACAAATGCAAGTCCAACTAAAGCAAAATTAAAAGCAAAAATTAAAATTCTTAAACAAAAGTTGCGACGAAAAGAAAAAAAATTAATTCATTAAAGGTTATGCTAAAAAATCTAAGCAAAAAAAAAATTGTTTCTGAAGATGCTGCTAATGTTCTTTGTAAAAACTTTAGTGGATTGATTTTTGATATTATAAAAAATCAGTTTAAAAACAATACTTCACTTCCAAAAGGGCATAGGTATACTGATGAAATAAAAAAATTTGCAATAACTCTGCATTTTTACTCACCTAAAGCATACAAATTTCTACGACCTATACTTCATTTACCTGCTTCAAGCTCTTTAGCCAACTGGACTTCTTCTGTAGATTGTGAACATGATTTTTTTGAAGATGTTTTAAGTTATATTAGTATAAAAGCAGAGACTGACATCAATTATAAAGATTGTGCATTAATTATAGATGCAATGGCAATCAAAACATCAGTTCTAAATGGTAAAAAGACAGTTCCATTCATTGGCTTTACAGATTATGGAAAAGATATTGTTGCAATTGAACCAGATACACCAGCTACAGAAGCATTGGTATTTATGCTGGTAGGATTACGAGGTCATTGGAAAACACCTATTGGCTATATAATGTGTAGTAAAATAACAGCTGAAAACTTTTTATGTCTTACTAAAAAAGCATTAACAATTTCTTCTGAGAAAAAAATTAATGTACGTAGCATTACATTTGATGGTGTAAATGTTAACTTTAATTCTGTTGAATCACTAGGATGTACATTTGGGAAAAGATTAGAAAAAATTATTGGAAGATTTACTTTTGAAAGCTATAATCACAACTTGTATGTAATTCCTGACCCAAGTCATTTGCTAAAATTAGCTAGAAATGCGTTATGTGATTTAGAGGTACTTTAGGATTGTGATGGAAAATATATTAAATGGAGTTATATAAAAGCTTTATATGAAATACGAGAAGAGGAAGGATTGAAATTTGCAAAATAAAATCTCAATAAAAGATATTTATTTCCAGCGTCACAAAATGAATGTTAAGTTTGCTGCACAAACACTTAGTAGTTCAGTTGCAGATGCCATTGAATTTCTGATGTTTTCCAAACATCCAAATTTCAAGCATGCTGAAGGAACTATAAATTTTATAAGGGTCATTGACAAATTATTTAATATGCTGAACTCTAAAAATCTTTTTTCAAAATCATATAAGAAAGCTCTTTTTTTAAATGATTATCTTTATTTGAATTCAACTTTTGATCAAATAATAAACTACTTATCAAAGTTGACAGATGCTAATGGTACTCCATTATTAAAACATAGGAGAAAAACTTTTGTATTAGGGTTAATTGTGGCTGCAAAAAGCCTTTAACACTTAGTCTATGAACTTTTGACTTTAAATGTTCATCCTTTTAAATTTTGCCTAACATGCAAATTTTCACAAGATCATCTTGAGTTATTGTTCTCTTGTATTCGTGGAATGAATGGATTTAATAATAATCCAGATGTCATCCAACTTAAGTCATCTTTAAAAAGAATTCTTTTGCGCAATTCTATTGTAGGCTCAAAGCATGCAAATTGTTTAACATTTGAGGATATTGCAAATGGCTCTATTTTTGCATTAAAATAGAGTAAAAAATCTGAAATTTATTCAACTCCTGAAACAGATTTTTTAAACTTTGATATTGATATTGTTACAATTCAAAATTATCTTGACAATACCTCTATCTATAAAGAAGCAATACTAGGATATATATCTGGACTTATTGTAAGAATATTATTATCGAAGATAACATGTTCTGTGTGTCCAAACTCACTTATATCTCAAAACAATTTTGTGAAACATTCTTATGGAAATCAGGTCTTTCATTGATTAACGTAAAAAATAGGGATGGGCTTTTTGCTCCTAGAAATATTATACAAACTATAATAGTATGCGAAAGGTTTATAACATAAATATTTAATATATAAAAGGATTATTAATTATTTAAAAATTTTAAAATTCAGTATATATATATATATATATATATATATATATATATATATATATATATATATATATTTATATATATATATATATATATATATATATATATATATATATATATAAATGAAAATAATATAAATAAAAATATTAAATTAATGTCTTTTCTTGATACTTGCTTTCCAAAGAAAATATATTCTTTATATACCTGAATACCTATGGAGCTTTTTTGTATTAAAAACCTTCTTAGATTATAACATAACATTGAATTAAATTTATTTAATTGACAGTAAATCAATTATAGAAAAAAGTAATAATGGTTTTAATGATAACAAGAAGTGTTTAACCATAAATAAAATTCTAACATTTCTAGAAGGAACCTCTAAGTTGTGTCACACAGAGCTTAGTTAATAGTCAAGACAGTTTTATAAAATGTTTCATTACAAGTTTTAACTCTGTTTACCTTGCAGTTATGTTATAGTACCTCCTAGCATTACTGCAGAGGGTAATTAATGACTAACATGTGCATAAAATGTTAATAGATTAAAGATTAAAATCTAACTAAATTTAAGATTTTCGTTGAATGTTAAATTTTAAAATCTTACAAATTTAAATTTTAAAATCAAAAAAAAATGAAATAAGTATAATTTTGACATGTTTAAAAAAACAATGCATATTTTACATAATTTTTAAATTTTAAATCAAAATCAAAATAACATCAAATTTTTCAGATATATTTGTGTATCTTTTTTTTATTGATTACATTTTTAAACAATTTTAGGCTTCGTATTTGTTTTGTTTCGATAAATAGCGTAAAGATTTTGCCCCCCTTAATGGCCGTCTTTTGCTTAACTTTTTCTGATACCGATTTACGGCATTAGACATCTAGTTATTCTTGCCGGAAATCAACATCAAAAATATTTGCCGGCACTGCCGACAATTGCTTTTTGCGACCAATAATTGTTTGAAAATCTCTTCAGAAGTTTCTAATTTGCTCAAAAGTTATCTATAAATCATTAACATTTTACAAATTTATGAAACTTCTCAATAAAAGAATAAAAGTCAAATGTTTTACTGGGTTGCCAAAAATATATAGGTTAACAAATGCTTCATTAGTACATAATGTAAATTTAAAAAACTGAGTTAAAATGCAACTCAGTTTTTATTTTGTTACACTATACCACTCACAATTTTTCCTAAAAAAACTTTTCAATAAAATTAAAATCACAAAGTTTTATTATTAAATAATATTTGTATCTTATTAGTATATAAAAGAGTTACCCAAACTATGCCCTTACATAAAGCCAAAGTGTAAGGTAATTTGTTAATTTTTTTTAATTCTTCTTTACACTATTATTACTATTCATTTTTATTTATTTGTACTATTTATGCATTTGAAAATCATATGAATATATTATAAATGAAACATTAAAATTGTTTCAGGAATTTTTAAAGTAATGATTAAAGCCTTTATGTTGATGCGCAGAAAAAAAATTGTTATTGCTATTGGTTTGGCAAGCATTTTTGTTATACTTTTGGTTCCAAAAACTCTTTTTACAAATAATTCAATTGTCAGTAACTTCTTTGAAGATAGTCAGGCCTATTGCAATAAAGCAGCAGATGTTACAGGAGATGAAGGAAGAAATCTTCAAGGGTATGAGCTATTACAAGTTCAAGTTATTATTAGACACGGTGATCGAGCTCCTATTGAATTGGATGCGTTACCAAATACAAGCCCTGTTCATATATCATGCTTGTTTCATAAACATGCAGAAACAAACTATGGCACTTTGATGCAAAGATTTGAAAAAGTCATGAGCAAAAGTCCATTTCTAGTGGTAAACAGTAAAAATACTGAGTTAGTACAACAGTCTATCTATTGTAAAGGTGGGCAGCTGACTCCTCATGGTTATCTGCAGCACTTGTTTCTTGGTAAATATCTTAAGTTTAGATATAAAGATTTTTTAGACAATCTAACTGTTGATCGAGATATATTAGTGAAATCAACCGATGTTGCTCGAACTATACAAAGTGCAGCTGCTTTACTTTCAGAATTGTTCTATGATTATAAAAAAGACCATTCTATAATTATTTATGTTTATAATGATCAAGTTGCTGATGGTCATATGCTTTTAGATGAAAATAATCAAAATTTGGCTTGTCATAAGCTACCTGAAATAATGAGTTTTTTTGAAAAAAAATCTAATACTTGGAAGGAGTTTGTAAACAAGTTATTTCCTATACTCAAAAATATTGCAAATGTTCTTCATTTAGAAAAAAAAGATTTACCCCCAATCAATAGAATTGTTGATATTTTATATACACGGTTATGTCACAATAAAGGAATTCCTCGTGGTCCTGGTGAAAAGCTTTCATCAAAAGTTGTTAAAGATGCTTTCAAAGTTGCTCATGAATACACAATTGTAAAACACGGTGCAGTTGCAGAATACCAGTCTCTATCTATTCTCTCACAAATGGCTAAACATGCATTTGATATTATTGTTGGAAAAGCATCCAAAAAATTTGTACTATTTTCTGGACATGACTCAATGATTACTCCATTTTTGATGCTATTAGAAATCTATGATGGAAAATGGCCTCCATATGCATCAAGAGTTGTTGTGGAGTTTTATTTGAAGAATAACAATACAGCAAGTGTTAAACAAAAGATTGAGAACACTTTTTTTAGAGTCATATACAATGGTGTTATTGCAAAGAAAATCAGTTTTTGTAAATCAAGTGATTTTGAAACACTTTGCTCACTACTTGCATTATTTGATTATGTTTCTAATGGATCATTTAATATAAATGGTGACTTAAGTAGGAAGAACGTTCATAAATTATTGTTTACTCGTATTAAATATATTTGTGAATTATAGCTGTTTAAATTTCAAAAAAGAAAGTTTTACTATTTAATGTTCTTGAATATTTATGTGCTAAATATTTTTTAAAGGTTAGTTTTCTATAGTTTATTATTTTTTATTGATTTATTGCTGGTAACTGCATTAAATATTTGTAGTTTTTTGAAGATTAGCTTTTATTTTTGCAAAAAAGCATATTGAAGAAGTTGTACTTTTTAATTTTTTTTTTAATTAATGATGATGATTATGGTTAATGATGGTAATTCACCTGTTTTAATATATTACAACAGGTGAATCATCATAGTTGTACATATATATACAGGCCACCCCATGGGTGGTGTAGAGGTGTCTAACCCCCTAGGAAAATTTTATTCAAAAATTAGTTGCCAGATTTGGACACTGGAGGAGACATTTGGATCATTAGTTGGCAGTTAAGCGCGAGTGGGGAAAAGCTCTCCTGAAACGAACATGGCGAGCCATGCGAGCTGCTCCAAACAGATTCTACGAGAACTTTTGGTTTTTACACGAGTTATCTGTTTATTCATTAAAAACATTGCTTATTAAATGCAAAATTTGGTTTTATAGTTGTTACAAGCATATGTTTGTAATGTTAATGTTACAAGAATATATGCATAAAAAGTATCATTTATTGCACCGTGAAAAAATTCTTTAGACAAGCGTTGTCTTTAGGTCTTCACATAAGCTATCCATTTATTTATTAGCATTGCTTATTTTTTAAAAACTTTGACAAGAGCTACAAAAGTTTTACTGATTATGAAAAATGATTTTTATTTTCTTTTTGTAATAGAATGCAGGCATTTTAAGAATTATTACAACAATTAAAAATTCTATAATAAAAGTAAATAATATATTAAAGTAATTAATATATAAAATATGTAATTATTAAATAAAAAAATAATTTAGAGTGTATCAACTTTATTTTTTATCAGTTAAATAATTTTATATTTTATCGATTTAGTTTAGAGTGTAATAATTTTATATTTATTTGTTAGTCCAATCTAATCAGAACATTTGCATTTATATCGGCGCACTTTTTTAACTTTTTTGCAACAACCGTTGCCATTTAAAAAGAATTGCAGTTTATTATGCAATTTATTTAATAAAGATAACTTTGTGTTTTTCATTTTAGTTACATTGATAATTATACTTTTGAGAGGAAAAATTATACTTTTTCGAGAGCCATAAATTGCCCCCGTAAACCGCTTTAGGGGAGAGTGGTCGAGAGCTTCCCGCCGAGGCCTATATATATATATATATATATATATATATATATATATATATATAAATATATATATATATATATATATATATATATATATATATATATATATATATATATATATATATATATATATATATATATAAACCGCAATGATGACTAGAAAGTTTTTTTTAATTAATGGTATTTTTGTTGTTATTTTATTAAAATATATTTTTAAAACACGCGCGGAGTGTTGCTACATCAACTATCTTAAAGCCTGCTGCTACAAAGGAGTGTTGCTACATCGACTATCTTATAGCCTGACTCGCAATGGAGTGCTGCTACATCAACTGACAAATAGCCTGACTCGCAAGGGAGTGCTGCTACATCGAATGTAGGTTTGGTTAGGGCAGGCAGTCTATAAAAAAAATTAAGTTTTTAAACTTTTTCTGGTCTGGTTTATTAACGCTCTCTTTAAAACTGCAGTTAGTTTTTTTTTCTATTTCAGCTATTTATACAAACATACTTCAATATTTAACGAGAGAACAGTAATAGTTTTTCAAGTATTCTAGTGAGCCAAAAATGAAGGGGTTGTAAATTTTACATTGTCATATGTTTCGAACTCTAAAATATAACTAGATAAAATTGAAGAACTGTAGATAAATTTAGTGTAAGAAAGTCAAACTAAATATTTTATTAACTCATTGTCCTAACGTTTGGGCAAGGGCCGCGTAGGCGTATTTTTGTTCCCAATATCTTTTGCAAAACATTCTGATTTGCTAAAACTTAATATATTTAAGCTTGGTTCAAAAAAAAAGTTTTTTAAATATCTTTTAAATGTTCAAAAGAAGTCATTTGCGGAGCAAATGCTGCTTAGCATCAGGGGCGTCGCCTTGGGGGAAGGGGGAGCCTCCTCTTCAGATTCTAGGAAAGAGAAAGTTAAAAATCTCTTTGCCACAATCTTGGACAGTTGCGGATTTTCCAACTCGAAGAAAAGTTTGTAGAAAAAAACCTAATAATGTGTGTGTGTGTGGGGGGGGGGGGGGGGGATTAGGTAAATAACTTAGTAACTGCGTTTGTTTTTCTGAGCACTAACTATGAAAAGTAAGAGATGTAAAGTACAATGTTCGTAAGAAAAGCAGTTTTCAATAACAGCTATAAAACTGTCACGAAAGATCTGTTAATAGTGGTAAAAAGGTTCTTTTTCATAAACAATGGGAGCCTCAGAGAATCCTTTAGTAGCTTCAAAAAAATGAAAAATGAGCATCAGAATGCTGATATCCATAAAAGAAGAAACAACATCTGATAAAAAACTTTAAAAGGACGCAAATTCAAGATAAGGATGCGAAAAGGGAAAACCTAGCGTCCAGGAACAAGCAGATAAGTTTACATAATTAATTTCTGAATTAGATCATTTATTAATTTCTGAATTAGACCTTCTCTGGTAGAAAAGTAAAAGATGGAAAAAATATTATTAGCTAGGATATTGCTGAAGTAAGCTTTGAAACAATAAAAATTTGAAAAATTGGCTGAAAATTGGCTTACGCTCATTAGGATTTGAATTGTTTTAGTTTTCTCAAAGAATATTGTAACATAAAAATATTGTGAAGAAGAATTAGTAAATGAAAAATTCGCTGCAAATTAAATTGAAAATGCAACAAGTTCTGTGGTGGAAATTTCAAAAAATGTTTGGAAACGGGAAACACTTTATTAGAAAACTCTATACGGAAGCTCAAAATATTATAATTGACAAATCAGATGCACCAGCATTGATAAGTCATGACCCAGATTTACGTCCACATACAATTACGGACAAAATCAAAAGATGTATTTACTTTAGTTAGGGCCACACCAAACAAAACTTGCCAGTTTCCCAAGTGACGGTAAAAATAGATTTAATTCTTAGTGTTACAAAGAGTTTGAACATTTAAAATACAGTACCCAAAAGGATGCTGCATTTTGTTTTTTCTACTGGCTTTTCCTCGAGGGTGCTGGAAAGAAGAGAAAAACTGAAGATGCTTAAATAAATTTTGAAGATGGACCATAGCTTTTTATCATAGCTCCCCAAAGTTTGTCTTTCCCATAGCTTTTTATCATGGACTTGGTCCATGATAAAAAGCCATTGGAAAGACAAACTTTGGGAGCGTCAGGCCCTCCTTATCTCTCAAGCAAACAAAGTTGCATTATATGAATATTGTTACTTTCTTATCAAAATGAGACATATAGATCACCTTATTGACAAATCCAAGAGACTTGCTCTGATAGAAGAACAAAAAAAGTAGTAAAGAACAGAAAACTATCAAATTTCTTATTAATACATTCAAGACTTTAGGAAATCAAGGTCTGGAGTTTAGGGAATCTGCAGTGCTCATCAAGGTAACTTTGTTACAGAAGTGAATCTCATCTCTTCATAAAATCCCACACTAAAAACCTGGATTGAAGATACTGCTCTTCGTTCATATAATGTTATATACGTGAGTACATCATCTAAAATTGAATTGAATAGTTTATTTTGCAACTGAATTGGAGAGTCAGATCATTGATGAAATTAACAGGTCTAATTTTTTTTTGTGATTGCCAACACAATACCCAATATGTCACACAAGGACATAATGAGTATAGTTGTGAGAACGACGTGTAAAAACGGTGAGATTTGGAAAAGACTTTTGAAATCAGGCAAATGTACTGATAAGACTGAAAAGATTATGGCTGAGCTAATTTTATCTTCTTTATAGAAAGAAGACATTGACATATCAAAATGGCTTTTCAATCTGTACTTCAGTCTGTTCAATGTCTGTACAATTTAAGTGAGTACAAAAGCATATTAAAGAGGAAATTGGCTATTATGTGCTATACATACCTTGTCAGAACTAACACTGCTCATGAACATGCTATCAATGCTAATACTTTAATACAACAATTGTTTAATGTTTTCAAACAGTTGCATTTTTCTTCACATCAAGCATAAAAAGATTTTTTCATTTTAAGGAAAAACTCGAAGACATTGACAATGCAATACAGCTTGTAAACCTGTCTAGAACAAGATGGACCATACGAGCAAAGTTTGTCAAGACTCTAAATCAGTGTTTAGAAAAAGTTATTAACCTTCTTAAAAGCAACTCACATAACAAGACTTTTGAAACTAACACGAGAACTAAGGTAGTGGGACTTCTGAACAAAAGTAAAAATTTTTGATTTTATTGTTACTCTTTTCTTCATAAAGAATATCATTGAGAAGATAAAAGTATTACCAGAATTCTTAGTCTAAACTTCAATGTCATTAACAGTGTTAATGTATTTAATATAAAAACACTGGCAAGAACCTACAAGCAACGAAATCAGTAACAGTAACGACACAGATGCTATAAATGATTTGTTTGATGATGCAGAAAATAATTACAAACGCCACCATAAATTAACAGTCCAAGAAATAAAAGCTTTTTACCAAAAGGAATTCAATACTTTTATTTTCAATAAAAAAATGCAAAAAGAATAATTCGACTAACATTAAATACCAAAAGACCAGAACAACCATCTGACCTCATCTTAGTTGAATTACAAAACAAAGAAACACAAAATTTTTTGATAATGAGTTTGAAAAAGTTAAAGGATAATATCAGTTACAAAAATATTTTTATTTTAAAAAACAAAACAGAAAAGGAGAGGTTGTTTGATAGTGAACTTAGAAAAGTGAATTCGAAATACTAGAAACGCAGCACTTACTCACGAAATTGAGGGAACAAATGGGAGACAATAGTACAATGTTCCCAATGGAAAAAATACTATTGGGGTATACGATTATCTAAGCTCAAATAAATCGAAATCAAATCTAAGTAAACTACATAAAAAAATTAAAAGATCTCTCTAGGACTTTTTGCGCAATCTACACTAAACTTGAGTATTCAAAATGTTCATTCATGAATGCCACCATTCATGATATAGCACAGAATTAATCGTTAGATATTTTTATACTGACAGAAACATGGATTAAGCCAAAAAATCCTGATGCAAATCAAGAAGATATGGCCACTATGTTTCAAAACAATTCAACACTTATCTGACCATTATAGGGAGACGTTGTAATAATATATCGAGGCAACTTAAATATTAAACTCTATGTCCTATGGACGTATAACTGCTAAACTAAATTTAACAAACACTATTTACGTTTTTTTGCTATACTATTTACTAATTATGTATAATTATGTTGTTGCTATTTATCGATTAAATCTAATAATTCCGATTTTTTTTGGAGTTCTTTGATCATCTTGAAGAACTTCAAACATTGTCTTAAGAAATACTTCTGTGCGATGACTTAAACTACCCAGGTACCACTCCAACAACTATCAATCCAAGACTTACTAATATTTTAGAGACCGACTGCATGATACAACGAGTGATACAATTTGTAAGTAATCATAATAGTATCATGCAGATGATACAATCTCCAATCGCGAGTTGGAGATTGTACCACCTTTCATGATACAATCTCCAACTCGCATACCATCAACTAGTGGTATTGCCAACCTGTTTAATCTAGTACTAAACTGTTATGATAACATTTTACTCAAACAATGTTTAAGTATTAGATGAGTATATTTTGGACCACTATTTGGTCCGGGTAGCACTCCAACATCAACCTTTAAAAAGAAAAACTGTTTGCTTTTTGAAACAAAACTTAAAAAAATAAAATTGTTATGTTTTATACAAGAAATGAAAACGATTCCATGCTGTGAAATATGTGGATGATTATTCTGAACAAATAAGAACAAATAGACTTAGCTTAATAGTAAATAGTTATCTTCAGATGCAAAGATTAAAAAGAAACTAATAACACAATACCATAATTAAAATGCGACACAACAAGTCAATATTTTATAAGCAAACTTGAAAGTATGATGATAAATGATGAAAGTATGATGAAAAATGATAAATAAAAACAACTTGCTACAATCCCAAAACCTATCATTTTGGAGCAATCTCTCTCTATGAATATTTTTACAACATTTGGTACAATCACTTCCGCTGATCCTTTGCATCTAATCAAAACTCTCAAACCTAAGACATCGCTACTTGATGTTATTCCGACAAACATTCTTAAACCATGTTCAAAATTTTTTAGTCTAATTAAAGCTCACCTCACCGGTCTCTCATTCAAATCTGGAATATTTCCAGCCTTATTCAAGGTTGTTTAAATTACAACGGTTCCCAAAAAATCAGGACAAACGGTGTTTCAACTCACTGATCTGCGCCCCATATCAAATCTCAACACAATATCCAGAATTTTTGAAAAGCTTGCTTTATCTCGGCTTCTTCCACATGTTTTTTCAACCGTAAACTTAAATCCTTTTCAATCTGGTAAATGATAAAAAACTACACTGTAAGTGAAATGTAATAGTGAAGCAAAATCTGGGACACTACATAAGTTCCGTTGATTTGTTTGCACTTTTTTTCATTCAAAAATGCCGTCTGATCATAAAACTTACATTTAGGGAAGTTTAAGTTTAAGATGACGTAGCAAAATAAATAACTTTTTCAATAAAAAATGGTCCCTTTGCAACCGCTCCAATTTTAAAAATATTATAGCGCATAAAAGTGTATTTTGGGTTCTATAAATTTTCACAATAGAGCACAGTTATTTTTGTATTGAATAATATCTGATATTATTTGAAAAATGTAAGATCGGTTTTTAAAAATTTATAAGGATACATTGTACCTTATATCATTATCTTATTTTTTAAATCCTCGTTATTGTTATTGTAACGTAGTCTATGAGTTGTAAAGTAGTGTATGAGTTTAACTGTATCTATTGTCGTTTGTATGGTTAATATTTAAGGTGAAGAATTAAATTCTTGTAAAGTAATTAAATTTTTTTTCAAAAATATTTGTTAAAACTTAAAACAGTTTGATCCAAACTCTTTTTTTTTTTCTTATTTCAGGTCAAAGGTAACGTTTAAAATCACTTTAACATCTGATCCTAAATTACCTTATAAAGTGTAGGTTTGAAGTATTTTTTTTAAGTGAATTTATTTAGTTTGATTAATTTTGTATACATTTCAAAGATAAAATAATGCTTATATACTTTTTGTAGTTTTTTATTCCTCATTAAACTCAAAAAGTTTTTGTTTATTTACATAATTATTTTTATAATCATTTATATCTTACATACAATTGTTTTGTATATTTATGTTGCTTTGTTGTTAACTTATTTTTTTTTTGTGACATCATTAGGTAAACATTTTTCTCTTTTGTATAATTTTTTGTTTTATATTATTATATAATTTTTTTCAATGATAAAATGACTATGCATAAATGTTACTTTAAACATGTATAAAAAGCTAGATCAATTCAAAATCTATATATCAGTAAACGCCTAAAAACTTTAATTTGAGAAAAACACAAATTATTGTGCAAATTGTTTACTACCAACTACAAAAATGTAAACTTAAATAACAAATTTTAAGCGATTTTATAATGAAAAGCCTAAACTTTATTACTAAATAAATTTAACAAAAAATGTAAAACATGACCCAAAACATGAAACATATTCATAAAAGAAAAATCAAACATAGTGATATGATGTTAATGAAGTATACGCTCATTATTTGTCACATTAAAAGCCAAAATCAGCTCTCTACCTCCAAGTAGATCCTAAAATAAGACTGTTTTACTTTTAATAGTTATTGGCCAGGTTCCTCTTGTCCCCTCAGAATTCCAATATTTTGAGGTTTCAAGTAGAGATGTCAAAATCTAGTTATGTAAAAGAGCGCAATAAAAATCTTAATAAAAAATAAGTTTTGCACTGCGCTCTCTTCCAAAAATAACTGGTTTTTGACAACCCTTGTTTCAAGTCCAAGTTTCAAAAAGATAAACTCAAGTTAAAAAAAAATAACTTTGAAAGTATTTGTTATTTTTACTTAAAATTTTGTACCTGGTTCAGGCGCAATTTTTTCTAAAAGAATCTTATAAAATGATCAGAGACTTCCTAAATATTAATTTAAATAATTTTGTTCAGTTTTTTATATACCTAATTTAGATGCTTTAAAAACCCATGCAGCCTAAATAAAGAGTTTTTATTTTTCATTCTATATTTGACGATCTTTTTTAAAGCATAATCCTAAATGCAGTTTAGTAGTTATTATTACCTTGAAAATGGTTTCATGTGATTTGGGTAAGTGGTTAAATAAAACTTGTCATAAACTAATTTTTTAAGGAATGATTCAAAGAGATTTAATTATCATAAAAAGAATGCGTTTGGAATTCTAGAAATAACAGATGATGAAATTTTAGCAATCTGTTTTCACTATGAATTTTTTTTTGTATGTAAACATTAAAAAAAAAGCACACTGAATATTGTAATGGATAGACATATATCAAAATAAAACACAAACAAAGATAAATAATTTTTGAGGAAGAGTGATTGTAAAATCTGTTTTGTATATAAATTGATATCTAAGAGTGAAGTGTAAAAGTTAAAAAATAAGTTAGTTCCATTATGCATGGGGATATTGAAAGTTGAAATAAAGTATTCTTATGTAATCTCACTAACAAAAAGTTAAATTTTTTGTTGATCTCTGATAAAGAAAATAGTCTGATAAATAGTCTGATAAAGAAAATATATTAGGAACTTGTTAAAGTTAAAGGATGAAATTTTAATGAAATTTTCATTGTATTACGTTCTTTCAATTGTTTAAAATTATTTTTATATACTGAAAACCTAACATACATATGTTAGGCTTTAACAGCTGTGAGTTTATAAGTCTTTAAAAACATTAGTTCACATAATTCAACTACTTCCTAGTTTATTTTATGATTTATTTTTGCATTGGGTAAAGAAGTTGAATCGTGCTGTCCTTAAGACCCCTTTTTTTAAATTTAAAATATTGAATCATGCTACCTTGATGACATCTCTCTTCTGTTGTCAGTTTAAATATCTTGAGTCTTTCCTCATATTATGTGGAACCATAATGTATGTGTAGCTACATGTGAACCACAAGAACATTGTGTATAATCAAAGAACCTTTTAACACTGAAATGATAAAAGAGTTATAAATAGTTCTGGTTAGACCATATCCAGAGTTTCCAGCTCCAATATGGAATCCAATTAAAAAAAAAGAAATTAATGATCTAGAAAAATAAGTTTAAAGGCAAGCAATAAAGCTAGCAAATATTTTTACCTAGATTTACAAAACATAAATTTAGACTAGAATTAGACAAATAAATAGCACCTATACTAAAACATTTATGTTTATGTTTAAGAAGTAGTTTGCTAACTTATTTAGGAGAATTTGCAAAAACAACGCTCATGCTTTTTATGAACAGTTTGATAACTCACTAGAATGGATAAATTTTTTCAAAAAAAGCTCATCTACAAAGACAGTAAATAACTTATATAATAAATTTTGTCTCTTTATTTTCATTATTTTTTTTTTCTCAATTGTTATTAACACCTTTACTTAACCCTATAACTTCAAAACACGAACCTGGATAAAGTTGTTGTATGTAAATACAAGATAGATTGATACTTCAAGGGGCCTGGTAGGTTTGAAGTCTGTTCCTCTTAGTTGGTTAGTTGGTCCTTCTGGTGAAGCCAGGTAGTACAAGTTTCAAGTAGCACACAAATGTTTTCCTTTTTGTTTGTGGGGTTTGGGTTGAACAACAGATAAAACATGTTCCGAATTGCATTTTTCGTTTTCTCGTCAATATGCAAACAGCATTTTCAGGGACAGTTGCACACTAGTCCATCAGGGATTTACATCAAGGATTCTAGTAAATCTATTGCTGAAATAAAAAGAATAACCTTTGCAGTTTGAGTATTCTTTATCTTTTACTTTTGCTTTACTAATGTTTATGTGTATCTTTATTTACTACACATTATTTTTGTTTCACATTTATCAACAGAACTACTTTCACTGTGCAGTTTTTAAACCAAATAATCATAAAATAACAAGTTAAAACACTTTTGTAAATCAGGTCTTTAAGTCGCTAGGGAGCAATTAGAGTTTCATATTTGAAAAAATTTACTTTATATATTTGCTTAGAAGCACATTTTATAATCCGCTAGGGAGCGATTAACAATTGTGAATTTTATATAGAGTGAATATTAGTAAATAAAAAGGTATGCAGTCAATAAAGCATTAATAGAAATAGTGATTTAGTGTTTTTGGGAGACTTATAATAAGTTTCCCACAACACAAGACAGTAAAATTAACCTTATAAAGTATAGATACTCAATTTTTCACTTAAAACCTGGCTGACAGGAATGTGAGAGTGGATGGGTAGGAAATGTGCAAACATCTATACTAAATATGAGAATGGAACAAGTCAAACCCAAAATTTGCTGCAGCTTTCTGCAGTAAATTTTGTGTTCTGCAATGAATGAAAATTTCAAGACAAATGGTTGAAAGGATTGAGTTCACATATTTCTGCATAAAATGGTGCGATTAAAGTTGGCCATTTATATTAATATTGTTTATAATAATACACATTTTTAATAATATTGTTTTGGACAGTATAAAAATCAGTTAATGGGTTTTTGAAATAAACAATTTAATTAACAGTATCATCTTATAACTTCTTCATCGTTCATTAATTAGTTTCACTAATTGTAGATTAATTGCTGTTTTTAATTTAATTTTTAAAATTTGAAAAAAAGTTTTTTTTTTTTTTTTTTTTTTTTCAATAAAATATTTTTGCATAAAATACAGTACAAGGTATTTTTTGTAATCAAATAGTTTTCTTTGAAAAAATAGTTGATTTGCTACTTTTTGTTTCTAGTTCTCTAAAATTTAGTTTGATAGGTTTAATTTTTTTATTTTTTGTTGTTTTTTATTATTTATACAAATTTTATTAGTTGTAGTTTAGAGATGTTTATCTTTGTATTAAAAAAATAAACGAATAAACAGAGAAAATTTAGTAATTTTTGTTGTTTTAACTTTTTATAGTTTAAATGTACCAGAGGATACTCCATTCACTGCAGTTCTTAGATTTGCTGCAGAAGAGGTAAATCACATATTTTTAGATAATAGAGATTTTATTAGATAAAATTTAGATACAGAAATGTTAAAAATTTTATTTTATTTAAAAGTTAAATGCTTTGTAACTTAAGTTAAAATCATGAAACTTACTTACTTTCAAACATATAAACTACAGAACAAAGGATAAAATAACTTCAGATAAGCAAAAAAAATTTTATTTTTTAATGTCTGCTAAAATCGTTCAACTTTGTGCCATGTCAAAAAATTATTGAGTTTGACTCATTTTTGGTTTAAAGTCTACTCTCATGATGTATAGAAATAAGGCAGTTATAACTATGAATGCCTGTTTAGATAAAATCTCTGACGTCACACTGCTGTACATAGCCTGTTGCCAGGCGCACTTATAGACTACCTTATAAAATGTCGCAAGAGAGTGCTGCTACATCAACTGAGGGTTTTGCATGAGGCAGCAATCTTTTTCATTATTATTATTTTTTTCTTTTTTTTATTATAAAAACACTGTATAATTTAATGTAATAAAAATAGGATAACAGTTTGTTATATAAACACTCTATAGTAGATATCTAATCACTCTATAGTGTGTGTGTGTCTCTCTCTCTCTCTCTCTCTCTCTCTCTCTCTATATATATATATATATATATATATATATATATATATATATATATATATATATATATATATATATATATATATATATATATATATATATATATATAAGGTTGTTCTTTCATAGTTTAACATTTAAGATGTTTAGTAATTTTTTAGTTTCAAGTAAATGAGGTGAAGCAGGAAGTTTAAAAAACAGCAGTTATTGATTGCAAAGTTTTAACATTAAAAAATAGTAAACTATTATTTAAATATGTTCTGAGATCAAACTTTCAAAATGATAACATGCCCATATAAGCTACATGTCCATACATCCATACACCACAAAATAGCAATAATAACTCAAATAATGTTTTGCCTCAAAACAAATTTAAGAAAATGTTCTAATAATTCCATCAACTTCTTAACCAGCATTAGGTATTATTACTTGTTTTCTCTTATTTTATAGTTTAATGTTCCACCAGCAACAAGCGCTATAATTACTAATGGTAGGTGTTTATTATGGTTGTTTTTTTTATTCCATTATTATTTAACATTATATTGGTTATTTTTAATTTGAAACTATGTTTAGATGGAATCGGTATCAATCCAGCTCAAAGTGCAGGTAATGGTTTTTTAAACCCAGATAATGCATTTATTAAATCAATTGTGAAATTATATATATACTAATTAGCTATTTTAGTTAGTGTTTTTGTAATAAATATAACCATAGTCACATTAGGATGTCCCGCAAAATTTTAAAATTATCATGCCAGCTTTTAAATTGAGTTAAATTAAAAAATATTATGTATCAAGTATTTTTTTAAAATATAAAAATTTAAGGGTCTTCTTAGAAAAAGTTGAAAAGATCCTTTCTTTACTGTCTTTTTTGAGTATCTTTGCATAAAATGTTAACAAATATATTCTGTAATGACTATAACTTTTCACACAGTATTGTTTACTATCTAATTTATATTGTATAAAAAATTTGAATTAACTTGGCAACATTAGTAAAGTAAATTGCTCTAAATTATGTTAGAGGTATCATTAACTATTATTAACCATAAAGACTTAAATTTGGAACAATATAAAATGTCTTCATAAAAGATTTTATATAATAGAGGCGTATGTGCCTAAATAAAAAAAATTGATTGTCTTATTTCAACCAATTATTTATTCTTAAATAATAAAAATTAAACCAATTAATTATTCTTAAATAATGGCCGTGTCTAAACAGGCTGTTTAGTATAAGGAGTATTTCTTTTCAAGTTGTTTC